TGTTTATCCTTGTGATCTGCACCCAGTTGGATCTACGGTTATGCACGTGCGGCCCACCTGGTTACAACATAAATACTGGCTGTTTCAGATATTTTGTATGCGTGTCGCGGTATAACAACGAGTAGAACACCAGTAAGTACATAGGCTCTAGGGAAGCGCGTGGTAAATCTGTTTGTTTTAGCCGCAACACAGTCCTCATACGTTTGCTGAAAACCCACCAACAGCTACGCCGGCTTTGTCTAAGTAAATTTGTTTCTCAAGACTTTGTATGGCGTTCGATGTCACACAATTAAGTCAACCACAAACGTCATAAAACCACCCATTTACACTTTAAGAAGATGTACAGCTTCTGAGATATTTCAAATTTAGGTTGACCTACTGCATACACATGTATTTTTGATTTTTAAATACAGAAATCCAAACCAATGTCTCGCTGGAGCGAAGCCAATAGGTTGCCAGCTACTACGCGAAATCCGTTTGAAGACTCCGTTCGATCTTCACTACTGTCTGAAGCGCATGGGGTCCTAACGAAGTAAGTGTGGTTTGTCCTAGAAAATGCCAAATATTACTCATATGCACACAATGTTGGAAGCAAATTTGCTCAAATGCTCGGTCATTGAACAAGTTGATCAAGACGGCACATCATATCCTGGTGTGGCTAAACTTTGTAACGCAGACCTATTAGATCCCTGATGGACAGTTTTTTCCCACTATCGCCATACATGTGTAAGGCAAAGTGCAATTCACACGAGACGCAGAGTATAAATTTCAGGCATATGAAGCTTCCAGCAAACCCGAAAATGATGCGTCGTTGTTCGCTTCTTATTGCGTTCTTGTTCTACATCGACCATGTTGCATGTTTGGAAGCCGTCGGTGTCCACAATTGGTCATCCAAATTTAACAACAATCCGTCAAAGAACTGGGTTGTCCTTGTGGCTGGTATCAATACCTGGAGAAATTATCGACATCAAGTAGGTGTCCGTTGACTTTCACTGTTCTGAAACTAAAAGTTCCACCCAAATCCCGCAAGCGTTGGTTTCCAAGTTGGAAATTTGAACTAAAGCTACCCCAGCGAGCTGTGTCCCAACTAGTCTTCTCCATGGCTGTGACATTCCACTCTAGAAGGCGGTTCATAGAAGGCACGACTAAGGGACACGCTAATGGACACGCGTTACGTAGCTGTGATGAACATGACTGATGCTCTATTCATTGCTCNCAAAGGGAACCGTACGGAAACCGAATATTGAGAAGCTTGGCCCTCCCACTGTCGACACCAGGCGCGATTGTTCGCAGCTTGAATGTATTTTCCCTGATTGTTCGAGCTCCAACGCAATATTGACCCCATACAGTTTAGTTGTCCTAATACGCGCTAACTGACGATTGTCTTTAATCACAATTTCGGTTGTATCTGGTTTTCCGCTAAGAAGTCTCCTTAAAATAGTTTTCCGGTTGAAGAAAGTTCACGGAATATCATCTGCAATCACCGACGAGGATGTATAGTAAATCGACCTGAAATGTTGCAGTGTGTAGTTAGGACTGGGTGATTTTCTATTTGGTTGCGCACACAATAGTGCTGGATCCATTTTGCTCATGAGTTGCTGCCCACACGGGTTCGACCAACCTTCGATAAACTTCACTGCCGGCGAGGGTGATTCATGCACCGTGTATGGAGTATAACCACCAACATTCATGTCACTTTGCTTGCACATAAGTCCTATATCCTCGCAATTTTTACCCGTTC